TCTACCGTTGTCGGCGTTGCCATGATACTGCGCCCGCCCAAGTCGCCGATTCGCACTGAAGTGCCCGCGGGAAGTGCCCAACGGTCAGCGCCACCGCGACCGCGTCGGTCGCGCCAAACTGCCTGGCCACTTTGCGCGCGAGCATGCGCGCTATCGCGACCGCGGCGATGTGCCAGCCAGCGCCGAGCAGTCATCGCCATCGCCGCCGCACGAGTTTTGCAAACCAAGTTGCGGATGAGTTGGACGGAAGGTGGACTTGACAATTTCAAGTTCGGAAAGGGTAGTTGCAGCACATAGGTCGCACCACATAGGTTGCACACCATCTGTTGCACCACGTAGTTGCACAACATAGATCACAACATGTGTATATAGATGCGTGTATATAAATATAAATATATGTATACTGCACCACCTAGAGTGTCCACCATCGACTGCCCAACATGAACTGCACCACACACACACACACACATTGCACACAAAGGATCACACGACATACATTGTACACCGTAGATGACGCCGCATCGATTACACCACAACTGTTGCACCATATAGATTGCAACGAAGATCTTGCACGAGATAGGGCACACAACTGTTGCCCAATATATTCACATATCTAAATATACAAACAACTAAGAATGCAGTGGCGCGTCGAGCCACGCACCATGGCCCTCAAAGGTTCGCATGCAGGCGGAAGGGCAGGAAAGCAAACTCAGAATTCAGCGATAAGTCCGTCTTGTTTTTTCCGACATCGTTGATCTGATATCGTATGATCATTCCCTCGTGTTTCCTCTTCCGTTTCCCCATTCTCGCCCTAGCCTGCGAATTCTTCTCCATCCTCCACTTGTTTTTGCAGGGGTTCCTGACTGGAGAGCCGCTTGGAGGCCTCACGAAACTTTTAAAAGGGATGTTTGGGGCTTTCTGGGAGTTTCCTGGGCGCCGTCTGGGCGCCTCTGCGGGTTTCCTCGGGCCAACCTGCTTCCAGCCGCGGTTTCCCTGAACAAACGGGTCATGGTTTGGAATGCGTCTGCGGGCATCGTGGGGCCATCTTGGGCCGTCATGGGGCTGTCCTCGGGCCCTATTAGGACCCTGTTCGGCCGTCTTGCGGCTCTCCTGGACTGCCTGGAAGCCTTTTCGGGTGCTTGTGGGGCGATGCTCGGGCCTCCTGGACGGTCTTGGACGCCTGAAGACCGAAGAACAGAAAAGTCTCAAACACACACGTCGAAAACCAATGGAAATCAATGCTTTCCCGTTTCAGCAACCTCTCGGGTGTCTTCTTGTGGTCGTCTTTGGGCGTCTGGTGGTTGTCAGGGGCCTGTTGGGGCCTTCGGGGCGCCGTTCGGCCGCCCTCGTGACCAATGCGTGCCCGTTGCCTAAGCCCAGCAGGGGCTTCTAGGAGCTCTGGAAAGACCGGGGGGCCTTCTGCAAGGACGTCCAAGGGCGCCCGGGGCAACGGATCCCAGGGGTCCGCGTTGGGGGGGGGGGGCCCGGGTGATATTTTAGGAGAACAAAGATCTTTCTACATAGACTGCACATCGTTGATTGTGAGAAACACGGTTGGTGTCCACGGTGGCTGACAGGTGCATTGCGTACGTACATATATATATATATACATGCATACATACATACATACATACAAACAAACATACATACATACATACATACATACATACATACATAAATACATACATACATACATACATACATACGCACGTCTATATATATACATATGTGTGGATAAGGACGCAATTTGTGGATTGGCTCGTGTACGTGTATATATATATATATACATACATACATATACATCTACATACATATATATACACACTGATTCCGAAACTTATATCCTTATTACCCGGACCCCCCACCACCACCAAGCCCTAAACTGAGCCCCCCCCGAGACGCCCTGGACGCCCTTTCGGACGTCTCAGCGGCCCTCTGGACGCCCTTGGAAAGGTCCGCTGGCCCTTCCGGACCTCCCAATGCGCCTTGCCGGGTCTTGCGAACAGACTCAAGGCGATCAGACGGGCCATCGGAGAGGCGCAAGAGAGACCTCGATGGTGTTAATAAGACGGCCCAAATAAGCCCCCAAGACGACCCACGAGGCTACGATGAGAACCCCACAGAAGCAAAAATCGCCTCATCTCCTTCGGAAAAATGTAGAAGTTTTACATATCCGCTGTTTGGGACTTCGCAACGTCCAAAACGGCCCGATGGGCCCCCGATAGCGCCCCAAGACTGCCCAAGAGGCTCCCTAGGGGGTTCGAAGACGGCCCAAGATGCCCCCAAGACTGCCCCAGAAAGCCCCGAGACTGCCCGCAAGAAGCCCAAGATGCCACCAGAAGGCTCCCAAGAAAGACCCACGAAAGTCATGGGAGACCCCCAAGAAGGCAACTGGAGGCCCCCAAGAAGGTCCTAGATGGTTTCGGATGACCTCTGGGGGGCCCCAGCTCCCCAAGGCGGCTGAAAAAAGCCCCAAGACGGCCCACGAGGGCCCCAAGACGGCCCAAAAGAGCCCCAAAAAACGCCAAGGCGGCGTCTTCCTACGAAGTACATCAGGCTGGCCCGACGATATTGGTTCCAAGCTTGAGGCTCGAGGTTGAAGTTCCTCGATCGAGAGAGACAGGCAATGGATCTAGATTCTAAGTTCGACGATCAAAGATTTCCTGGGTGTCTGGGGCCCCCCAAGCATTCAGGAAGCTACCAACAAGAAAAAATTGTCCAGAGCTGCTGCGGCTTCGTCGGCGTGTCATGGGAACGTTCCTTACTTCCTCAAAGGACCTTCGCGCGAGAAAAAAAACAGCATTCCTTCCCCACTGCCGCGCACAAGCGTGCAAGCGCATCGAGCGAACGCGGTGTCAACAAGCGCCAAGGATATCAGAAAAATAAGCCAGTCGCTCATCCAGTCTTCTAAGTCCCCCCCCGCTGAAACAAGCGATGATTGATTGCTTTGCCGCGGAGGGTCCGGAACAAAGCGCACGGTGCGAAGCGCCAATGCACTCTTGTATCCATATATATATACACATATTACATATGTGTATATATATATTACAGTGAGGGGGCCGAACGGTCATTCATTGTCCCCGGGTGCGTGGCTGAAGCGAGAATCCGTGGTGAGAATTCTGCTTGTTGCGTTGTTGTTGTTTGTTGTCGTCGTCCCCCCGCGACCCACCACGACCCACCCCGCGACCCACCCCGCGACCCACACCGCGACCCACCCCGCGACCCACCCCGCGACCCACCTCGCGACCCACCCCGCGACTCACCCCGCGACCCACCCGCGACCCACCCGCGAACCATCCGCGACCCACCCCGCGACCCACCCGAGACCCACCCCGCGACCCATCCGCGACCCATCCGCGACCCACCCGCGACCCACCCCGCGACCCACCCTCAAGGGAAAAACACCACCCGGACCCGACAATTGACCTTTACTAAAACGGCTCTGGGCGAAAACGACTAAACAAATTAACAGACAAAAAAACAAAAAAACCAAAACAAAAACAAAAACAAAACACCAAACAAAGGCAAACAAGAATACAAAACAATCCCTGGCCCTGTTCGATTCATTCCGTGTGCGTTTAGCAAACGGCTTCGCTTGTCGGGGTGATTATGTTGGGATGGATGTTCTGCCCTCTACACCCGCGACCCACCCGCGACCCAACAGCGACCCACCCGCAACACACCCGCGACCCATTTGCGACCCCCCCGCGACCCACCCGCGACCTACCCACATTGAACGAAAAAAATCGGCGCCTGCGGCGGGTTCGTTGTATAATGTGTGAAACGTTGGCGCCTGCGGCGGGCTTCTCCAGAGTCTCGCAAACTGCCGACGTCCCCATCGCCACCTCACTCGTATCCGCATCTGCGGTGTGCTACGTAGCAATATATACGTACGTAGATATATGTGTGTGTGTGTGTGTTCGTATACGTAGCTGCAGCTGAAGATCTCAATATGAATATACATGTATATACACATCATACATATGCAGTCTCGGATATACATATGCCGATATGCTTATATAGAGATGGATGTGTACATATATCTGTATACTGCTACAACTTCAGATCCATAAATAGATATTCGAGCTCCCATCTAGAATCCTCCACCTTTCTCCCACACCGCATGGTGAGCGTCGGCGGCCGTTGGAGGCCGCATTCGAAACGCAGAAGCCTAACGGCATGCCTGCGGCGGGAAATGCGGCGACGCCGACGCCTCCGCAGAGTCCCTTTTCGAGGAACAACGGGACGACGACTACAGCAACGACGATGACAACGACATGACTGCTGCGGCGAAAGCGGCGACGACGACGCCTCCACAGAGTCCCTCGTCGAGGAACAACGGGAGGACGACGACGACGACGACGACGAAGACGACGCCTACGACGACGACGACGACGACGACGACGACGACGGGGCGACGACGACGACATGACTGCGGCGCCGAATGCGGCGACGACAACGCCTTCGCAGAGTCCCGTTTCGAGGAACATCGGGACGACGACGACGACGACGACGACAGCGACAACGAAAACGATGACGACGACGACGACGACAACGACGACGGGGCGGCGATCCTCCACGAACATAAATCGCCCGGATACAAAAAAACGTCAATGCTGGAACCCAAAGCCTCATGGAGTCCTCAGCCGATCGACCGGTCCACCGTGACGACGACGCCATCGACGAAGACGACGACGACGACGACGACGACGACGACGGCGACGACGACGGGCACTCCGACGACGACGACGACGACGACGACGACAACATGACTGCGGCGGCGAATGCGGCGACGACGACGCCTCCGCAGAATCTCTCGTCGAGGAACAACGACGACGACAGCGACGACGACGACGACGACGGCGACGGCGAAAACAACGACGACGACGACGACGACGACGACGACGACGGCGACTGCGACGACGGTGACGGCGACGGCGACTGCGACGGCGACGGCGACTGCGACGGCGGCGGCGACGACGACGCCCCGAAAGCCCCTCGTCGAGAAACGGCGGGTCGAGCCGCGAGGGCCGCAGCGGCTTCTTCGGGGGCTTGGCCGCGGCTGCCCACCGCCTGGGTGCAGGAGAGCAGGAATTTGGAGGAGGAGGGAGGAGGAGGGAGGAGGGAGGAGCGAGGAGGGAGGAGGAGGGAGGAGGAGGGAGGAGGAGGAGGAGGAGGAGGAGGAGGAGGGGGAGGAGGAGGCGGAGGAGAAGGAGGAGGAGGTCCCTTTTCGAGGAACAACGGGGCGGAGGCCGCCGCAGTCATGTCGTCGTCGTCGTCGTCGTCGTCGTCGTCGTCGTCGTCGTCGTAGTCGCCGTCGTCGTCGTCGTAGTCGCCGTCGTCGTCGTTGTTTTCGCTGTTGTCGCCGTCGCTGTCGTCGTCGTCCCGTTGTTCCTCGACGAGGGATTGCGGAGGCGTCGCCGTCGCCGCATTCGCCGCCGCATTCGCCGCCGCAGTCAAGTCGTCGTCGTCGTCGTCGTCGTCGTCGTCGTCGTAGTCGTCGTCGTCGTCGTCGCCGTCGTCGACGTCGTCGTCGTCATCGTCGTCGTAGTCGTCGCCGTCGTCGTCGACGTCGTGGTAGACCGGTCGATCGGCTGAGGACTGCTTGAGGCTTGGGGTTCCAGGATTGACGTTTTCTTTGTATCTGGGCGATTTATGTTCGTGGAGGGTCGCCGCCCCGTCGTCGTCGTCGTCGTCGTCGTCGTCGTCGTCGTCGTCGTCGTCGTCGTCGTCGTCGTCGTCGTCGTCGTC